GCTCTGGCAGATGGCAATGGATGCACACCCAGCCACATCTTGCATTTCCAACCCAAGACACATTTGGGAAAAATGAGAGCGTTGGGAGTTTGCTCAGGAATCTTGCCTGGGTATGGAGGGGTTGGAGGAGCAGGAGATTCCCTGGGAGCACAGGGAGCATCCAGGGATCCCCTGCTCAGCGGGGCCTGGGGGTGACCTGAGGACGCAAATCCAAGTCCTGCACACTTCCCGGAATAATGAGGAATGTGGGAGTATTTCAGGAGTCTTGGGGTTGGTGGGAACAGGGAGAACACCCAGAGCAGCTTCTTGGTGCTGGGAATTCCTGCCCTTCTCAGGGGTCACACAGGAGGTGGGAAGCAGGGGATCCCTGGAAGATGGGGGATCACTGGGAAGAGGAAATCTCTGGGAAGGTTAGGAATCCCTGGGAAGGTTGGGGATCCCTGGGGAGGTTGGGGATCCCTGGGGAGGTTGGAGATCCCTGGGAAGGTTGGGGATCCCTGGGAAGGTGGGCAGCCCTGGCTCATGGTTTCCATGGTGATACCAAGCAAAGGATGCTGGAAAACCTCGGGATGAACTCAGCATTCCCAGGGCAGGTGGGGCCCCTGCTCCAGGTCCTTCCTTCCCGAGGAACATCAGGAGTCCTGGTCCCAGAGTGCCCTCCAGGGATGCACATCTGGGCTCCCTGCCAGATGTGGCTCCTGGGGCTGCCCTGGGGCTGTTGCTCCTCCTGGGGTCTGGGGGCACCTGGGGGTGGGGGGAGCCCTTGGAGACCCTTCCAGCCCAAGGAATTCCTTGGGATGTAATTCCAGTTTTATGGAGGGGAGACTGAGGCCAAGGACAGTGAAAACCTTTCCCAGCTCTGTTCCCTCTGTCCAGAGCAGGACATTTATGGGAATTGACTGAGGAATTCCCAGATGGAGCTGTGTGGGACTTGCTTTGGCTTTCTCCAAGCAGGAATATCCCCCCCTGGAGCTGGAATATACCCCCTGGGGAAGACAATTCCAGAGCTGGGGATAAAAATTCCAGAGCTACAGGATCACAATTCCAGAGTTGGGGGATAACAACAATTCCAGAGGATAATAATTCCAGAGCTGTGGGATAACAGTTCCAGAAGTGAGGAATAACAATTGCAGAGCTGGGGATAACAATTCGACCAGAAACACCTCCCAGCTCTGGCTGTATCCTCATTTCCCAATAAATCAGTGCCAGGATCAGCTCCAGCTCTTCATTCCCAAGGGGAATTGGATGTGTTTGCACAGGACCAGGCAGGGTGAGAGGGCAGCTCCCAGCTTTTGGGATATTAATATCTGAGTTTTCAGGGATGAGCTTGGTCCCAGCCAAAAACTCTACTCCCTGTAGAGTTTTCCTGGGATGCCCTTCCCCAAAAAGTCATGGAAAGGCAACAGCAGGAGTAGGAAGCTGAGCTTCCCTCTGCAGCCAGCTGGGAGCAGGTGCTGAATTAATCCCGGATTTAATTCAAGCTCCTTTAATCCTGCAGGGGAAAGAGCAGCTCAGGATTTGTTGGGAGAGCCCACCCTGGGAGCTGGAATGGATTTAATGTGTGGGAAAATGCAGAATTCTGGATTATTCCCAACCTGGAATGCTCTAAAACCTGAATTTCCAGACACTCTGAGAGTGGGGCTGGTGATGAAGGAAGGGGTTTGGCTTCCCCATATCCCTAAATAAAGTTTAAAACTGGGATGTGCCAAATCCCGAGGGATTTAGATTGATTTTGAATTTATCTGATCCAATCCAAAGATTTCAGGGTTATTTTTTCCCAAATTGATGCATGATTCCAAAAAAAATGGGCTCATTGGGAGGCTCTGCTGGGTGCAGGAATGGATTTACTGTATGGAAAAATGCAGTTTCTAAGGAATTTTTTATAATTCCCAACCTGGAATGAGCTATAAACTGAATTTCCAAGCCCTGAGAGTGGGGCTGGGGATAAATGAAGCATTCTCAACATCCCAAACAAGGTTAAAAACTGGAGATGCAATCCAAGCCCCAAAGGATTGGGATTGGTTTTAGTTTCTCTGAGCAATTCCAAGGATTCCAGGATTATTTTTCCCCACAGTGATGAGTGTTTATAAAAAATGAGAAGAGCAGTGTCTCAGCCCCAGAGATCCAGGAGAAATTCCCAGAAAAATCCATTCCAAATGATGCTGAAATTGGAAAAAAAAATAAAAAGTCTGTCAAAATTGGAAAAAAGTCAAATTGTCAAAAGTTACAATTTGTCAAAAGTTAGAATTTGAAATATGAATAAAATAATGGCTGGGATTTTTCCCTGGGACATTCAGAGCCCTCTCCAGTGCCAGGGGTTTCCACGGAGCCCTTCGGGATTTGCTGTGTCCAGGGAAAATTCCTTCAGAAATGAATGACCCCAAACCCAGATTTTTGGGGCTGCTGGGCCCTCCCTTTTCCCACAGTTCCAAGAAATATTGAATCCCCACTAAAGCTCCCGGATCCCAGAATGGGTGTGGAATATTTAGGATGCAGTTAATGAGTTCTGATCCAGGCATTTCTATCCAAGCTGGGCTTTTAACTTGCCTCTTCTAGCAGCAAACAGGAATTTTGGAAGGAATCTATTCTTTATGAGAAGGGACAATTTTTCCAAGCCAATTCCATGTTTTTGGTTTCTTCCTTGTGCAGGAGAAACAAGGAAAGATGCCTGGGGTTGGCAGCTCCTCTAAAAAAATCCTGTTTGTTTTGTTTTCCTGGGTGTCATCACTGATGGAATTCTGCAATTGTGGGGTTTAATCCCAAAGTTTGTTCCATGCTGTGGCCTTTCCCTCCCTTTCCATGGGCACCACTGGCTTCATTCCAGGGTTTTCCATTTAAAATTCCAAATCCTCCTGGTTTGAGGATTAATTTGGCTACTGCAGACTGGATCTTGGTATGGATGGACAGGGATTTACCCATGGACAGACCCCTGGGCATGGGAAATCCCTGGAATTAGAGCTGGGGCAGGTGCAGAAATGGGCAGAGGAGTTTTGGATGGAAAATATTTTGGGAAAATTCCTGTTGCCCAACAAATTAAACTAAATAGGAGTTTTTTCATCTGAGGTGTCAGAGAATTACTGAGGCAAGCAGATGGAATCTCCTCCGGAGTGCTGGAAGGGGATCAACACCCAGCAGAGCCGTGGGGGTGGGTGGGACCAGCAGGAGCGGGAAAAACGGGATGGGAATTGGGGGGAGGGCTTGGGGGGAGCATGGGAAGGGTTTGAGCCTGGCCTGGGCTGGGGTTTGGGCAGCTGGGGCAGACCCTGGGATGCTGTGGGACTGTGGAGATGGGATTGGGATGGGACTGGAATCTTCTCCATCACCAAAAGCATTTGGGAAGAGCTAGCAGGGGTTTGTTCCCAAAAAGTGTGGGAATGTGTGGTTGGGGGCTGGGGTTTCCCAGGAGGTGGCAGCAGTGTCTGGCCTGGGGTCTCCAGAATTCCAGACTCCTGGCTCAGCCCTTGGCCATGGCTCTGCTGAGCTGGGAGGTGACACCTGGGAGGGGCTGGAAGGGAGGGGATCCGAGCTCTGGGATGCTCCTGTTTGTCCTGGCCAATTCCAACCCAAACCCATCCCGCCTGTGGGTGTCGCTTGGTTTCCCTTGGCAGCTCCTGGGTGAGCAGGGTCTGTTCAGGTGGGATTTCGGAAAGGAATTCCTCCCTGGCAGGGTGGGCAGCCCTGGCACAGGGTGCCCAGAGCAGCTGTGGTGCCCCTGGAGCCCTGGCAGTGCCCAAGGCCAGGCTGGACAGGGCTTGGAGCAGCCTGGGACAGTGGGAGGTGTCCCTGCCATGGCAGGGGTGGCACTGGGTGGATTTAAGGTCCCTTCCAACCCAAACCATTCCAGGAGTCCATGATCCTGTGAGGAAAATCCTCTTGGGAGAAGGCAGCAGATCCCTTTGCCAGCAGAGTTAAATCCTGAATTCCTGAGACCCACAAAACCTCCTCCAGAGTCCCTCCTTGTCCCCTTGTCCCCTGCCCGTGTCCTCCCAACCCTCTTTGTGCACACCCTGGAGAAGCAGCTCTGGAGCTGGGAGTGGCTGGGATTCCCTGCTCCCGAGGTTCTCCCAGAGCTGTTGGAAATTGAAATGCACAATGAAATAGTAGGAAAATGCTACGGAATAGTGGGAGGCTGAGGAATGATTCATCCTCCAAGAGAAGCTCCTCAGATGTGGAGGTGGCACTGCTGGCCACCAGCATGGATCCAGATCCAGGAATATTCCAGGTTTAGGTCAAATTGGGTCTCGTTAACAACTTCCTCTGTCAGTCCTTAGTCGCAGATGGAATCTGGGAGAGCAGCAGGAATCCCGAGGAGAGGAGGTGACAGCCCTGGGTGTGTGGGGACAGGAGCCCACGGTGCTGATCTGAGCTCAAATCTGCTTCCAAAGCCACCCTGTGACTTTTGTCCACTCGTTTTAGTGGAAAAGAGGAACTGACCTCGAGTAACTGCACATGGATTTTGGATGTGGAAACCCCCCCATCACCCCATGGCCCCAAAAGGCTTTTCCAGCTTGGAGCAGCTGCCAAACCCCAAATTCCTTGACATTTAGGGCATTCTTAATGTCATTTCATGACCAGCATTCCCAAGTGGCCTCGGGCTGTGCCAGGGATGGGACAGCGAGGGGCATCATGGATTCATGAATCCTCAGTGTTGGAGCCCTCCTGGAGAGTGGGAACGGCTCGGGTGGGGGAAGGAGGAGTTGGTTTGGTTTGGTGATGTGGCAATGTCACCAAAGTGTCCTGGAACCAAATTCCAGCAGGAAAGTGAGGTCCCCTCTTGGTTTCTCTTCCTTGGAAGTTCAGAGCTGGCTGGAGCCGCTGTTCCAGGGAGGGGAGCTGGGATCAGGAGCCGATGGGAGGTGATTTGGGATGAGGCCCGGGAGTGGTCTGCTCCTAGCAAATCCTGCTGCTGGATTTCCTCCCTCAGTTTCCAGGGATCCGATCATCCAGGTGGGAACATTCCAGCTGTTCTTGAGCTCCTTAAGCTCCCCCTTCTCTTGCAG